TGCCAGTATTCCTTTATGCTGCAGCACACCCAACAGGCAGGGCCCCGGACACAATCAGGCGTGAGCTGGGCTACTACAGGCCAAATTTCATGGGCAGCCAATGGGCAGGGTGGAACATACCCGAAATTCTCCCAGAAAATCCTGACCATGGTCCAACCCATGTGTCTCGGACCAGAGGAATCACACTGATTGGGGCACGGTCATGGGTCACATTATACAACATTCCCATCATGTGCACCGATGTTTCAACTGCTCGACGGATAGCACGCATGGTAAGTGCTCGCGGTGGTGGACTTCCAACAGTACAATCGTTGGCCCTATTCCATGGCGATGATTCAGCTGAGATTGCTTGCATGCTCTTGGAGCCTAATCGGATTGGCCCAGACAGAGTGCAAGCACAGGTTGAGATGTTGGCAGCTCAAGAGGGGTTGGATGTAGAGAAGGGCTATTTCACCGATCTTTCACCAGAAATGATTGTGCAAAAGTACATGAATTTAATCTCTGCTAGGAGAGACTGATCAAACACTCGTTTGGAAATTAAACTGATTATCAAATTTCCGCTGACCATAATGGTCAAAGAACATAACCAAATAACATAAACTGATCAACTTTTTAAATCTTAAGCAGACTCAATTGGTAGCTACTTTATGATAGCTTTTGGTTACCGTCACCACCTGATAAACGGGACGAAGATAATGGAGACATATCTTTCTATTCTTTCTGTTTTGAGAAGATAGAAATCTATTCCAAAATTGTTTCAGGACAGATTTATTTTATGTTTATGTTTGTCTTTTCATCCAAATATGTTTTTGTCACCGGTATATAAAACATAATCCAAGCTTAATGTCTCTAGTAACCAAAAATGTCCAAGAAATGATCAAAACTAAATGCAGTTATCTGTTTTTAGATCACTAGCTGATTCTTTCTTTGTTCTACTTCCACTTACTTACTGTCTGATCCCGACTCTGAAAGTTTTTACTGTGTTCAAAATTTAAGAGGATATCTTGAATAAGCAATGAATTCCACACCAGAAAAATACTTCTGATTAAGTCATTTTATGCAAATATATTGCTATTTTTTCTTTCCTTGACCCTACGATTTAGCAAAAAAAACGTGTATTTCTGCGCTTTTCAATATCTGAAACTCAATAAATTTCAAGATCAATGTGAAAATGTATAGCAGCATGATA